GGAAATAAGAAAAGAATTGCCGTTTGCGTGAACGAATTGAAAAAAGCAACGAGAGAAGATAAAGTTAAAGCTTAATTTGTAGTGTAAATATCGATGTCTCATAGATATGATAATAACATATTTAAATTTTAATATTTTAGATTGTTTTTCATATACTCTATGTCTGAGTATTTAATCCAATCAAGAATTAGTGAACAAATATGATAGATCTCTCTGGGTTTAATCATAACAATATGTACACAAAATTTCAAAAATCGCCATATTTTTTAAAATATCGTCTCTTTCTATCAAATTATCTTCTCTGAATATTTTCTCTCTGAGTTTTTTTCTTATTCTTAAATGTTAACTTACTATGCTATTTTTTATGCTCAAAATTTAAATATCTGTCTCTATAAATGTGAGAATGCCATCGTCAATACATATATGCATATATGTGTATAATACATATAGATAATCATTTAAAAAAAATTACTTAACTAATCTTAAATATTTCACGCTGGTAGAGTTATATAATGATTTATAAGAAATAAAGTAAGTCCGAAAATAATATACATCAAATATGATACAAAATTATCATATTTCACCATCAAGTTATTCGGTATTTTTATTTTCTGTAAAATTCACCAGAATTCCATTGCCAGCATCCACCCAATCTTCTGAAAAGAGTTTCTCCCTTAGAATTTGCCTTTCTGTCCTATCTTCTTCCTTTACTTCATTTTCTGTATTGACATCATTCTTGCAAATACTGTTGCCAACAATTACATTTTCCACTTGATCTGGTAGAATTTTATTTAACGTTTCCGGGATAATCAAAGTCAAAGCACCGGAGACAAAGCATAATATTCCAATGACTAGTAACAGTATGGGAAGTGATATGTGTTGCCTCTGATAACAAAATTATTTGCATCTTCAATATACCAATTATCTATCTCGCAACTGATCGTTCTCGATACATAGAAAGTAGTACAAGTAAAACAGACCGCGACAAGTTAAAACAAATTCTTTGAAAAAGATACTTAGAAATAGACAGAAATTTTCCAAACAAGATAAGTAGATACGTACCGATAATAATAAATATGGCATACTTAGGCTGCCAATTTTTGCAAATATCACACATAAGCCTAAGCAGCTACCTCGTATTATCGTTGGGAATATTTCAACAGTATATAAATAGACAACAGAGAGAGTGCTCGTAATAGTTACTCTGCCAAAAAGCAATATTATCGTTTTTACGAAATCTGAAATAAAAATATATATATGTTAGAAAGATTTGCGAAAAAGTGAATTTAAATCTTATGATATAGAGTCTCATAACTCTATATGATTTATAAGTATGCATCATACAGAAAACAATATCTTCTTTATTTTATTTATTTTTATCTTACCAGTCCATAGTGCAGTGGTAGGGATTAAAATGAAAAAAACCGCTATTAAAATACAAACAATGCCATTGAGAGATTGATATATGCACATTGGCAATCGTCTACCGTATCTAGATAATACAAAATACACAAATGTGTATGTTGCCATTTCGAGAACTCCGCCTAGGGCAAACGTAATGTGTCTATTAATTGAAAAACTTGGCGCCAGATCGTCAAATATGCTAGATGCTATTGCGGATATCCACCTTAAATAAAATTAAATAAAGATAAACATTTAAAAGAGCTTATTATTACATTATTCCAGAAGTAAAAATAAATCGAAATTATTAAATTAAGACTAAAAATTATTTGTAAAAATATTTTACCATTGGTAAATCATAATAGCACCGTATTTTCTTAATATGGACGACTTGATTGCATTCTTGAATGTTAAATTTATTTTGATCCGACTTTGTTTCTTGATACTATCTTCCGTTTTATCTTCATTTTCACAGGTTTTTTCTTTCTTTGCTCTACGTAACACTACTTCCTCCGCGTCTTTCAAGGAAATTCTTTGATCGCATTTCGATTGCGTCATTATCTTTGATCTTCGATTGCATTTTGAACTCGAAGGTAAATGCCCCTTGTCAAAATTTTCTGCTAAACTTGGTGCCTCTGAGCGTAATTCTATATTGGAAAATCTGTTTTTCGAAGTGGTCGAATCGGTTACTGAAGTTCTCTCTGAAATGAACTCAATTCATTTAGAATTTATGAAATTTTATGAATTATATCCAATTAATTTCCTTTTAACTTAAGAATATTTTATACGTGTGTGTATATATACACATGTGTGTACACACACACACACACACACACACACACACACACACACACACACACACACACACACACACACACACAAAATATTCTTAAGTTAAAAGGAAATTAACTCTTATATAATACTTTTCTATTGTCATATATAACTTGTGCATATTGAAAGGGGTTTGTATTATACACCTGTAATTTTTTGTTCATTTGATTCTATGCCGTTTAATAAATTCGTAGATTCTTCTTGTTGATTTTCATCTGCTTTGGTTTTCTTAAATTCGATACTAGGGACACGTGACTTTCTCTCCGGTTTTATCGGAGTTTTATTACTTTTCACGCATACTTCTTGCACAGGAATATTCTTTGTTCGCGATCCGATGCAACAGCTGTTATACTTTGCAATTCTTTCGAGCGCCATATCGGCCTCCGTCAATTTTTCTCTAGCCAATAACCATCTCGGTGATTCCGGTATAATCCTATTACACATAATATAATGTCAGCTTTACAAATTCAATGTATACAAATTTTAATTCTTCTTTCATCAGCTGTTTCTTTCTTTCCTTCGTTTTTTTTTTTTTTTTTTTTCCTTACCAAATATACAGTACAGTAATTGCGGTGGGTACAGAAACAGCCAACTGTAAAATTCGCCAATCGGGAATCACGTAGCTGAGTACTGCTAGCAGAATGAGGCCGATTGACCAAGAGATTTGCATAATTAATGAGATGAGAGTGCGAGATCGCGTTGGAAATAGTTCCAGGGAGAGAATATATGTGGAATTCTGCAAGCCTTGAACGAATACTCCTTGAAGACCACGGAGCGCCAAAAACGCAGGATAGCTCTAAAGACGCAAATTTCCTCCCTTTAACATTTCTAAATTTTAATTGTTATATACGAATAAAAATAAACAATTTTGCGCACCAATAATGTTTCTTTTACTCAAATATTAAATATATAATATTGAACTGCGAAGTAACTTATCGATAAATGAAAAGAATTAACTTATCGTGTTTTGTATCGTAATTTTGTTACAACGAATTAAGTGCGATAACACTCTAAAGTATTATTTTAAGAACGTGGAAATATTAATATAAATGTGACTTCCTCGTGTTTCAAATTTGAACTTTCTTGTCTTTTAAAGCATAAAATGATTGAGTTTATTCGATATTATTTCCAACATTGTAGTGGAACGTTTTTCACCTGTACAATGTAGAGGGCGACCGCCATCGTGCCTTGCGCGTAAAGACATATCGCTTGGACCGGAAGTCTGCCGATACGATCGGCTAGAAATCCGGTAATCCCTGCACCCAGAAGTACCCCGATGTAATAAACGGTCGGCCCCAGAAAAGACAGGTACCGTTTCTCGCATACTAAACCCCATTCGGTGATTACGCTGTTCTCCGCAAACTCCGTCACGAAGCGATATTGGCCGGAACAGGACGTAAGGATCGACACTTCCGACGTTGCGAAAGTTAAATTGGCGACGATCGATGAATTCGCTGCGGTTTGACAGCCATAGCTTTTATTCGTTGAATCTTTTACCTGGGATGTACATAGAAAGAAGAATTTTACGATATAAAATTATTGCATTCTAAAGAGCGACTAAAGAGCGACTAAAGAGCGAATTTTTCTTTTTACAATAATTTTTTCTTACTAATTTAATTTTTTGATGAAATTAATGTGATAATCAAAAGCAAAATATAAAAATCTAAATAAATTTTAAATCTATGCTAAATATAATTTACTTTTTCATAATTATACTTTTTCATAATTTTATAATTTTACCCCTCGTTTTATATTTTCTTATTTTTATATTTTATATGAAATATGAAATATTTTTATTTGTAATATTTAGTTTAATGTATCAATGGTTTAGATTCACATTTTTCGTTAGAGTTCACACTTGCTTTACACTTATTTATCACTGAATTAAAATAATAGTTCTGTTATATGAAAATAAAAACTTTCTGCAATTTATTTCCTTTACACCATCTTACCTGACAATAGAATTTTGGCGTGTAATTATGAAAAACTGGCAACGCGTGACTCATGGCGACGATGACATAGTTTATCCCAAGTAATAGCACCAACACCATTTGAAAGCAGCCCACTTTAGCTTCCTCCGCATTCATCGTGAGTGACGATCTCTCCACATCAACCCTTGATAATCCGACGACTAAGTCCGTCAAAAGTGCGATGCGGATTGCAATTTGAAGGCACAAGCCTTGTATAATCACATTTGTTCATTCCTTTGCGAACAAGCAATTTTGGAAGATCAATTGAACACCCTTTCTGTTTATATCGAATATTCGATCCATTTGCGACATATCGAGAAAACCAAAGTTCCTTTTTATAAAATATTTGTAATATGTAAAACTAATGATTTATATTCAGAGAAAGAATTTAAGATTTGATTAGTTACTCAAGTTTATCAAAATTAAGAAAGTATATAATAATTTTAAAAAATTGTTCGCTTTCATGAAACGGAGCGCCGAGCGTGTGGAATACGATGCGAGATTTAAACAAAGTGTCATATACGAAGGTAGAGCATGCACTGACAGAGAGAGGATCGACCAGGAATCGTCTCTCTTGCAGGACGCGAGGCGTGAAAGAGGAGACCGTATGGCAGGTGAATCAGAGGAGGACGATGATATGGCCTATTGTTCCAATACCTGACGATACATACACATCGGTATGCGGTACATACATGAGGAGTAAGTGATCTTTTGCCAATAATGACCCAATATTCTGCGATTAACGTAACCATTACCGGTCGTATTTCCTTTAATCGTCTCTATCGTAATGCGTTATTATAAATTATATCTAACGCGAAATGTAGACAAAATAGGAATAGAGGAAGGGGAGAGAGAGAGAGAGAGAGGG